AAGAGGAACAGGGATGGATAAGGAAGAGGGACAGAATGAGGTTAGGAGGGGAGGGACGGCAGCTCCACTGGAGGTGACAAGTTGGAAAAGGAGGAGGCAGGAAGAGGACAAGCAGGTTGAAATGGAGCCTAAAGAGGCTGCTGGGTGTGGGGGCCCAGACTAGGGTAAGGGCCACGGGGCCTGCCTCACAGTTGCCTTTCCTGCTGATTACGCTGGAAGACATCCCGCAGAGGGGTCAGGGCTTCCGGAGAAAAAAGATAGATGCCACAGTTGATGATGTCACTGATGAACGTGCTGGGTTTCTCCACATAGTGCAGGACCTGAGGATAGCAAGGATGTGCTCCTAGTGGGGCTGACTGCACCCACCACAATCCCCTAAGACCCTCTCATTTCCAGGCCTTCCTCCCTGCTACAGGACTAATATGCAGTGTGCATCCAGCCCCTACATGGCTTTACTCCCTGAGCGGACTGCCCTTCACCCTCACCTTCACCTTCACCTTCACAATGACCTCCATGCCCTTTCCTGCTCCAACCTCCCCACCTCCTTGGTCTCCCAGAACACAGCTCCACGCTATTGGCTCCTGGTGCCTCAAACACCTTCCTGCCTCTTCCTCTGGAAAACTCACTTCTGAGGCCCAGCTGAGGTCATGCCACCCTCCAGGAGTCCTAACATGCTAGTCCCCACCTTAGCTATTCAGGCCTGGCACCCCTGGCCTCCATCAATCATGACACTGCCATTTTAAAAAGATGGCTTTGGCTCTATCTTTCTTATTAGGCCAAGGATTGTGCCTTTTTGGTTCTCCTCTCATACCTAGCTGATAGCTGGCATAAAACTAGGTGCCTACATGTGTGCACACACATGTGCTGTGTGTGCATTTATATGCATTCTGTATACTAATGTGAGATCAAATAAAAGGAGCATGTGGGGGCTGGAGAGATGGCTCAGTGGTCTAAAGCACCTACTTGAAACAAGCTTGGCAAAGCACAGGGACCTCGGTTCGATCCCCAGCACCACATGCCAGCCAGACCCGCCCCCTGGTGGGCTGAGCTGGCCACACACACACACACAATAAATAAATGTAATAAATAAAAATAAATAAATATATATAAAAAAAAAAGGAGCATGTGAAAGTCTCAAGGCTCACGGGTGGGGAGGTTCACAAACAGCTAGAGTTCCTCTACCTTGCCCGTGACACACCCACTTTCCTAAGTGTGAAGCCACTACACTATTTCCTGCCTCTATGTTTGCACATACTGCTCCCTCTGCCTCTAGTCCCTTCCTGTTTCCATGTAGACAAATCTCAGCTCAGTGCTGCTTCCTCTGGGAAGTCCCCCCCACTTCCACTCAAGCAAGGCTTTGCAGGCCCCCCATTCTGTCCTCCCTAGCACTCTGTATGCACACTTATAGCACCATGCACATGGAATTAACTGCTGCCCCTTCCCCTTAGCCAATCTCTTATGAAGATATATAAGATAATTATCATGTTTCCACTGGCTTGTACCACTCATGGGACATGCATGACTGTCCCATGAAGTGGCTTTTATCACCTGCTAGAACTGTCCCATGCTACCCAATGGGACAGTTATACACATACTACTGGTGGTTCACAGCTGCATGGCAGTGAAACATACAAGGTATGGTACAATTATGAATGTGCTAATAGAGGACTGTCTCTCCTGACTAGCAGAACTGAAAGTTAATGCAGGTAGCATTCTGGCAGTTTCCAGAGTCATGGGGCATGGGAATGATGATACAGGGAGGGGCCACCCAGCCCCTCTGCTCTTACCTCATGGGTCTGTGGATTCTCAACGATGCAGCCATAGTTGAGGGACTGTGTTCTGTTAGCCTGAAAGACAGACTTCCTGGAGACAGGAGCCCGCCTGCTCCAAGGCAGCAGAGTTGTTTGCTCATCCTTTCCTCCCATCCCCTATAGCACCTGGCACGCAGGCACACAGCTCCATTGCTGACAGTCCTTTAGAAGAGGTGAGAGCTGACAGCTGCCCTCCCCTCCCTCCTTCTGAGCAGTCAAAGGGCTCAGGGTCACCAGTGACACCTCTGTCACTTCTGGGGCAGTACATCTTCCTCCTGACACACATTGTCAATCCAATTCCCCAGGCTGCCTCTGCCACTTCAACACTCTCCAGACCTCCTGGGCTCCTCACCGTGGTGCCAAGGAGTAGAAAAGGGTGTCGCTGGCGTCTGTGGGCATCCAGCATAGCACTCAAGGGGAAGTCAGAGCAGACGTCTGCATTGAGCACGAAGAATGCCTCAGGACCCCCAGCCAGGATCTGGTCCCGAAAATGGTAGAGACCACCACCTGTGCCCAGGGGAGCAAACTCCTGCAAATACCTGTCCCAAGGAACCCCAGAGCTAGATCAGTGAAATCAGACCAGACAGTTACTATGTGCCAGAGAAAGCAGCCTCCAGGAATACTGCCTAAGGCCCACAAAGAAAATCCATATAGTGTATCTAGGGATTCAGAGATGCCCAAATAAGAAAGAGCCTAGTGTGTGAGGGTGAAATCTGGTGACACTGATTTAAATCCACTTCAGAGAATGAGGGCCTCCCTCCCCATAGATGTATGCATAGACACCTGACTGGAAGGTTGAACTCCTGCTGTGCGGCTTCTAAGAACTGCGTGAGGGCCTCATCAGGTTGGTAGAAGCCAATGAGCAGAATCTCCTGCATTCCAGGCACCTGAAGAGAAGGAAAGAAGTTAGTAGAAAATGTGTATCTGATAGGAGACAACGTTGGGGGAATCCCTGGTGCTAGCCCTGAGTTGAGAGACTACAGTTCAGCTTCAACTGGGGGACTCTGGGCACTCACTTATCATTTTGGCCTGTTTTCTTCTCTGGACAATAAGGATGTTAGAGGAAGTTTCAGACAGACCTTTCAATCTTACAACTCTTCTCCCCATTGGGACTTGCTTTAGGAAAGACTGCCTTCAAGGTACACTGAAGGATGATCCATTCATCTTTTCTGTTTTTTTTTTTTTTTTCGCAGAACTGGGGATTGAACTCAGACCCTTGCACTTGCTGGCAAGTGCTTATTCTACTGAGCCATCTCCCTGGTCCCTTCTGCTTTTTTCTTGTCTATCTGTCTAAGCTTGAGATCAGCACGAGGCAAGGGTGCCTGCACTGAACTAGGCACTTCACCATGTTGCCATCCCACAAAGGGATCCAATCTCTACTTCACAAACAAAGAAACAGAAGCTCAGAGAGGGTGCAAGGTGTGGTTACTTCAGGTCTCACGGCAGACAGATACTGGATTCAACCCATAACCTGGCTTTTCCAAATACCAAAAGCAATAAAGAAATGAGGTCCCAGGGAATTAATTCTTTGCTTCATCATCTTTTTTTTTTTGGTGGGTGGCTCAGCCCATCCTGGTGCGGCATGTGGCGCCAGAGATCAAACCAGACACATGCTTATTCTACTGAGCTATCTCCCCGGCTCCCCAGCCAGCCCTCTTTCATTTCTTATTTATTTATTTATTTATTTTCAGAACCAAGGATTGAACTCAGGCCCTTGCACTTGCCAGGCAAGCGCTTAATCTACTGAACTATCTCCCCAGCCCTCATTTCTTATTTTGAGGCAGGATTTCCCTAAGTCATTAAACTGCCCAGCTTGGGCTCAAACTTCTTTTTCCTACTTCAACTTATCAGGAAGCCTCCATTATACCTCTAAATTATCTCCGAGATGCCTGCCTGATTTCACTTTCATACTTTAAAAATAAGGCATGAAATCTGAGAAGAAAGAGGCCAGATGAGAGACAGGAAAGGAGAAAACATTGGGGCAGATGTTGTTCCACAAGTTAACGGTATACCATTTACATCATGTGTGAATGATGGTCCTTAGAGCTACACCTAATGAGAAGAGATCATGGTTGGGGGAGAGTGAAATAATGCAAGAAGATGATCAGGAAGGTGTCAGGGAGCCTATGGGTTACCTGGGCACAGGCCTCGATATGGTGCTGGATCATAGGGACCCCAGCTACAGGAAACAATGGCTTGGGGACCTCAAAAGACAAAGGCCTGAAGCGAGTTCCTGGGAAAGGAGAGAGAACATTTTAGCCTCCTGCCTCACTCCGCCCCCATCCCAGTAGCCACTCCAGCCAAACCCCTTCCCAAATCCTCAGGTCCTCACCCTTCTGAGGGCCTCCAATCAGGATCACAGCTTTCAGCATGATGAGCACTGCTATCGAAACCTCAAAACCCAACAGAGAAATCTGGCTCAGATCTCACATCCCAAGCAAACCCCAACCCCCAAATAATGCTTAACTCTCTTCAGGATGTAAACGCAAGGTTCAATATAGTGCCTCCCTGGACACTACACCTCACAAATCCCATACATCTCACATCCCAGGACAGACTCTTTCAAATCGTACATGGATTCCTCACAAATTCTGAAGTCTGCATCTCACAACTTCACACAAGAGCTCCCTTTGGCCAGGAACACACACTGCAAACTCAGAAACTCAAGAGACCCCCTCCTAAGACCCTAAATTTGAGAAAAATTGAAACCCTAAACCCAGTGATTCTAAAATTCAAGAAGTACAATCCTGAATCTCAACACTAAACGTTGGATACGGAACCGCAAATCCTGAGTGGCCTCCAGCTACTTACACTCAATCTTAAGGGTGAACCCCAAGTCCTGACCACTGATTTGCCTTTGGTGAAACCCCAATCTAGCAAAAACTCTGTACATGAATCCTAAACAACCTGTGATGTAAGCCCTGACTCAACACACAGGTCCTCTTGGCATCCTATGCACTGGGCTTACTAACCCCTGAACCTCAGTACTGCCAACTCCTGCTGAATCTCTGGATTTGGACGGGTCAACTGCTGACCCTCTGAACCCCATAACTGACAGTCCAATAATGCCTAGCATCTTGCACGCAGGGGCTCCAAAACCAATACAGGCCCAAACCCACGAAGAGAGCTCGCGAGGACCCGTTCCCATCCCCTGCCCCTCCTGTTTCACCAACAACGCCCCCTTTACCACTAGCTCCCTTTACGCAGCCGGCTCGGCCGCCCGCGACTGCCGGCTCCTTCCGCGCACGTGTCTTCTCGCAACTCGCGAGAATGCTTCGCACGGCCTGCCGGGAATTGTAGTTCTGAAGATTCCTTTGCCTTTCTGCGGAGAGACACGAGGTGTGGAAGCCGAGGGCTCTCGACGAACGACCGAGGGGCGGGCCTAAATGAGAAGAAGGAGCGGGGCCTGAGCCAAAGACTGGAATGTAAGATGAGGAACTGAACAGTCTAAAAATGGAACTCAGGGCAGTGGCCAAAAGTGGAGGACCAGGCTACCCCGGAAGCGGGACTGGAGATCCCTGGAGTGTGACCTGCCTTGGAAGGGGCGGAGCCGGAGCTCGCACAGCCCCGAGGGGCGGGGCTTGAACCAGGCAGAGGGTGGGAGGGCGGAGTCCGGAGCTGACCGGCTGGGCAAGAACAGGTGGGAACAGGCCGCCAGGAAGTCCGATGGTGAGAAAGATCGTATTTCGAGTTGACTGTAAAGTAAAACATGAAGTAGGCACTCTTCAAACTGTCCTCTGACTGTAGTGTTCTGTGACAATGGCCTGGAATAAGTGTTGGGGTGAAGGCCTCGAGGAGAGAAGTCAAAGTTACAGTACGGACCAGATGAAGAGGGTCAGAAAGAGCAGCTTTATTAAGCAAGAACCAGGAGTAGTGTCGGGCCCATCCACCCCGGGCCTTGAGCTCAGGACGAGAGGTCTGGGGGTTCCTTCATGCCACGTCCTCTCGCGCGAAGCTCTGGTCCATCCCAGGCCGTTTACCTACACCCTACGTGCCACGGTCCTCAGGTGTGGCCGGGTGAATGCTCGGCGTCGCGATGGTGGCACCGATCGCACTGAGCTCGCGGGTCTCCAAGAATACCTTGGGGAGAGGGCGGAGAAGAACAGGAGGAGCTGTGGGTCAGGTTGCACTGTGCGTGCACTGGGCCAGGCTAATTTGCCAACTCTGGTCTTCACCGTCTTGTCCCCCACCCTTTTTTTTCTCTCTCCCAGCCTGTCTCTGGGCACAGGACCGCCAGGGTTCCACCCCAGACCCCGCCCTTGCCTGCTGCCCTCCTCAATGTCCTCCTCATCCTTGTCCAGCCCACATCGGGTGGAGGCTCGCCCAAGATCTCTGCAGTCAGCATTACCTTGGTGCCTTTGTGCGCCTTCGCCTTGTCGGGTTTTTTTAGAATCTTAGCCCGGACTAGGGGAATGGGAGGGACACACAACCCAGTGAGGGACCTGGAGGCGAAATGGGACCGAGGCATCCTAAGCTAATATCTGACCCTAAATACGAGGCACACTTAAGCTCGAAGTGTGACATCGAGCAAACGATTAGGTTCTCTGGTTTCATCACCTTAGCTGTAAAACCGAATTTATCTCCACTTCTTCGCAGTGTGGAATAGAGGATCAAAAGAGACAAAGCAAGTGGAAGTGTGGGAATGCCTTCATATCCTTGGCGCCTTGGAGACAGTTTTGAGTAGTGGAAATTGCCCAGGATTGGGAGCCAGAAAACTCAGCTCTAAGCTTGTTCTGCCTCTGGCTTGCTCTGTGGCCCTTGGGAGCCTGGAGGAGCCGAGGGATCGAAGCTCACTGAACCCGAAGCTGGGCTTCCTCGAATGGTAACTGAAATAGGTAGGCCCAGAGATATTCACTGCGGCCACTGCTCCTGGCTGCGGGAGCCCGCAGAGGGGCTGCTCTTTGGAGCCTTGTCTGAGCTGGAGGCACATACCTTCTACAGGAATGCGCGCCCGTCCCAGTTGGAGCACTGGCCCAAACGGTTTGTTACACTTTCACTGTGCTGGCTTGGGTCTGCCAGCTCACCCTCGCACGCCACCAGCGCCACTAAGTCAGGGTCCTCAAAGACGGAACGATACTTGAGGCCGTCGCCCAGCTCTTTGCCATCTTTGCTTCAGCGGATGAATGGGTCTGGGAAAGCCGAAATACGGCAAATCAGCTTGGCCGCTTTGCCCTCGATCAGCACTACGTCCATCAGCAGCGGCAGCACCCGCGGCGGCCCCCTTTTCTCGCAGCTCCTTCCCGGACCTGTGCACAGGGGTGGGGGTGGGGGATTCGGGCCCAGAGCTCTGAGACATGCTCCTGCAGGCCTGCAGCCCAGTCTGGCTGTACACCATTTCCTGCTGAGGAAGTGGGTGCTACCCGAACTGTTACCGTGATGAAATGCCAGTCGCTGTTCTGCACCTCAGTAACCTCTCCTCTAAGGCCAATGTTGCTCCTCGTTCACACCACTGTGCTTAGTATCCCTGCCCCCATCCCAAATGCAGGAATGTGCTTTCATTAACTCCACTTCCCTTCCATGGCTCCTGGGGTCCAGCCCACCTGTGCCCGGGTAAGAGGCTCGATAGGAATGGCTGTTCTCTGAACCTGGGGGTTGTTGATATCCAGGGTACAGCTTGGAGGTGGCGGCTGCAGGGTTTTCAGCAGGAGTTACTTTGGACATCTGGGGAGTGGAGAGCAAATACGGGGTCTAGGCAAAGACAGAGGCTTCTGCCCTTTAGCTCTTTCCCTGCCTGACCATGGGTGGGAATGTCTGAGGCTTCTCTAAGGAAAGAGTTCACCGTACAGGTAACTGGTTAGGTCACAGGCAGGCACCACAGAGCCCTTCTGGATGACACAGTAGAGGCACAAGTGGAGAATCTGGCACAGACCCTGGTTTTATATATCACTAGTGTCCTTACCTTATTTGGTGAGGTTGCCTCCAAGTCCCCCAGAACCCCAGTGCCCACCTTCTGGTCCAAGTGGGCTCCTTACATAGCCAGAGGATGCCTGGACCAAGGCTCAGCCAGTAGGACAAGCCCAAGGGAACAGGGAACCCGAGCAGCTCTGGGTGCACTGTGTGTCAGCACCTGGACAGCTGGATGCAGCCTCATGCACGGGGGGCATCCTTCCCGCTTCCAGGAGGACCAGGCACAGCCCCCAGCCAGCCAGAGACTCCGCTCAGTGCTGCAGCAGCTTTGCACGCAGGTCAGGCTCCATGCAGGCAGGCAGAGGTGCCCTTCCTGAGACCGTGTAGGTTAAGAGGGTGCAGGTGTCCCTGAATGAAGCCAGAGTAGCCTTGGATTTCATAATCCATACGGCCAATCCTGGCAGGGTCAGTGCCTATCACCAGTCCACAAGTGACTCTTCCCTTACACCCACACATACCCCAAGAGTCTGTGGGTGTCATTTTTGCACTGTGCCCCCTGGTGGCAAACAGAGGTAACCCAAGAGAGGCTGGGAGAGATTTTTGGGAGCAGCGGCCCTTCCAGTGCCAACCCCATCCACATTGTCTCCCTTTGATGGGACAGGCTACAGTCTGGCATATTGGAACAGTTCCTAGAAATTAGCACTACTTCTGACTCCCCAACCCTTAGTCTACCAAGCCCTTTTGGGACATAAGCCAAGGCATAGGGATGTCTGATGACCTGAGGTATGGGGTGCCCAGGACACCAGTAGGAGTGTTGCTTCCATCCACGGTGGCTATCTGCCCAGGTGTAGAGTACCATCACATTTTTGATTTTTTTTTTATTTTTTGCAGAACCAGGGATTGAACTCAGGCCCTTGTGCTTGCCAGGGAAGCACTTATTCCACTGAGCCACATCACATTTTTTTTTAATTCTTTTTTTTTTTTTTTTTTTTTTTTGTGGAATCGGGGATTGAACTCAGATCCTTGCGCTTGCCAGGGAAGCACTTATTCTACTAAGCCATCTCCTCGGCCCCCTAGAGCAGTTTTAACACAGCTCTGCTGACATAAATTACCTTTGCTTCTCTGGGTTTGGAACAAGCGGTTCACATGCCATTTCCAATGGAGATGGGAAGGCAGCTCCAGATCGGAGTGGGGACAGGAGAGAGGAATTTTACCATTTATCAAGATATGAGTTCAGGCACCTCATTTTTATGTGAAAACATTTGCAGTATGTAGGGGATTAGAGATTCTTGCAGGCAAACTGTATATCTTCATCCCTAAAATGACAGGTCGGCAAGGTGTCTCTCTCATCCCTTCCAGCTGGCTTTAACATCCTGTTATTTTATGATGATAGGCCTGCCTCTTCCCTGAGGTCCTGGGAAGCCAGAGAGGCTGGGTAGGCCTGGGCAGAGGGCCGCTGGAACTGAAGCCAAGGGGCCTCAAACTCAGTTGGCAACACACCGGTGCCAACTCTCTCTGCTTGTGGTTGGAAGCTTTGTTCCCTTCTGTTTGCTGAGAACAGTTTGCTAGGTAGTTGGGAACTGTCCTCTGCACCCAAGGAGTCTGACTCCTCTTTTCCTCTCATGTCAGCGCAGACCAGCTCAGTTCTAGAACCCAGTGTCCATTCTGTGGCCAGAGCCAGGTGCTTGAGCACCCAGCAGACCTTTTAATTTGCCCAGGGGACAAGAAGACCTAGGCTGATGTGTCCCTCAGTCCCAGGAAAATGCTGGACGTGGCCAGCCAGAGCACCCAAAACTGTGGGTTCTGATCTATGCTGCGCCCCCAAAATCCCCATGCTAGGGCATCTCTAGGTTTCTTGTACAGCTCTTCACTCTGTCTCTTCTTGCCAACTATCAAGACAAAACTTGTCTTCCTTGGGGTGGAAGCTGAGCCAGGTCTAGGGTGTAGTTTGGTCCACATCAGAGCCCAGCAACCCCTACGATGTGATTAGGAAGTGTGTGAACAGAGGCGAGGCTCTGACCAAAAGGTAGTAGCAGGGACCCAGTGGGTGAGCCAGTATTCCAGAAACTTTGGGGCAAGAAGCAAACTATAGCCCCCATATCCCTCTGAGAATAAGGAGGGGTGAGAACTTCCAAGAGCCAAGGGAAGGCTGGGAAAATCCCAACATGCTAACCAGTACATCCTCAGATATGTCTTCACTAGTCCAGAGAACATCACTAAACTACCCAGTCCCATCCCAGGAATCACTCCTTGACCCCAGCCCTCCCCAAAGACCACACATAGGTTCTGCTGCTTGCCGGTTTTATTTTCCTTGTGACAGACAGACAGAGCTGCACAGACAGCTGGATGGCTGGGGAAGAGAGGAGTGGTCAGGACAACACGGGCTATAAGGATTGGATGGAAGGGAAAACTTCATAAAAGGCAATAAATAAATAAATATGACTAGGACGAAGGGCAAAGGCCATGGAAGGGTAGTGGGGACATCCCTGGGCCACCATGGAGTGCCCAGAGCTGCATCCGCTGGCATAGGAGGGAAGATCCAGCCTGGGTGTGTACTCGCTGAGTCTGAATTTCTGTTTCTCCTGGGGGTCCTGCTGGCTGCTGGCCCACTACTCCCTCGTGACCCGTGACTGCTCTCCTCTCCCACCTGCTGCCCTCGCTCACATCCTGGCTCCCTCCCTGGCACTGCTTCTGTGTCCTGGCCCTGCCTCACTGGTACATTCCCAGCCCAGGGCCCTGACACCCCGAGCTCTTCCTCTTCCTCCTTTTGAGTCATTCACCTTCCTGGGTTCTCCTGAGGTGCACTGCCCCTGACCCTTGAACCTTGCTAAAGTCTCCCTGCCCTATCCTTGGCGACTTTCCTTCCTCTTCACTTCCCCCATTCCCTTGTTATCCCTCTTTCTGCTTCCACCCCTGCCCATCCTAGCCAAGGGTCTCCTGCTCTGGCCAGGGGGGCATCAGGCTGAAGGTCCTGGGCCTCCTTCCCCTCAGATCCATGAGGTAATAGCCTGGCCAGATGTTGCTGCTGGTGGTATCCGAAGCCCCAGGCCCAGCTGGCTCTGCGTGGGCCCTGGAATGTCCCTCGGCCTCAATGGGAACCGGGAGTCAGCCTGCAGCAGCCGGGTGTGGTCCAGGCCACTAGGGGCCTCCGGGGTAGGAGCGGAGCAGCACCTTGTGGCGGGTGGCAGCCTCAGCCCTGCGCCGCCGCTGCTCGCCTAGGAACTCCTTGAGCCGGTTGGTGGTAAAGGTGAGCGTCTGGCGGCGCAGCTTCATCAGGTAGGCATCCTGCAGCCAAGGGTGGGCCAGGCAGTCCTGTAGGGAGGGCCGGCTCCTGCCAGGCCAGGCCAGTGGCAGTGAGCCAGGATAGATGACTCCTGGAGCCTGCAGGCTCTGTCCTTCCTGGGACCCACCACTGGATCCTGTACCCACCACTGTATGTGACTTCGGTCAACTGTGGGAATTACAGGTATGGCTCACTGTGCCCATGTGATGGGCTTTGAATGGTAGGCAGTACTGCCATCCACTGGAAGTAGCAGGGGAAGGTTTGCGGGTCTTTGGCCAGGTAGAGCCTGACCAGTCTACAGCCAAGGGCAGGTAGTTCTGGGGGTTGGCAGGTGGTGCCCCACTCACCAGGGATGTACTGAGAGGATCTTTCGCAAGAAGAGGGTGGCGCTCTGGGATGTGTTGGGGTACAGCTGGAAGGCATCAAACCGACCCCCCACAATCCGAGCCTCTGTTTCCTGGGGGTCTGGCTCATAGAATGGAGAGTGTCCGCTGAGCCTGTTGTAGAAGACAGTTTAGTTGACATAGCCCAGTTGTACCACTCAGGGGTTCTCTGTCTTAGTGTGGACTAAGGGGCAGCTCTCAGGCCTACAGGACTCCAGTGCTTAGGGACAGTACCACTTGCATACACCTGACATGTGCTGGGGAGGCAGGGCACCAGGATGGGTGTTGCAGGAGGTGGGAGAGAGCTGGGAAAGGCCCAGGAGTACTTACATGATGTAGGTGAGCACACCTGCTCCCCAGATGTCCGTAGCAGAGCCGATGGGTTCTCCCTTCACCATCTCAGGAGCTGAGAAGAGACAGAGGCCGAGCTTACTCAGTGACAGAGGAGCAAGGGGAGTGGAAGCACCTGAAAAGCAGGGACAATGCCCAGGTCACTAGACTACGGGCACAGCCAGAGCAGCAGGCCTCAGAGGCCGCTGGGCAGGCTGGAAGCAAAGGTAGTTCCCAGGAGGGATGTAGGCTGCCTGAGGAATAAGCTCTGGAACTGAATGAGAGTGTCCCTGCAACTCCAGAGGAGCTGAGAAGCGGGTCACCAGCTCCCTCGGACCAGCCTCAAGGTCGGACACTCTTTCACAAAGAGTGTAGCTAGCACCAAGATTAAGAGCCTCTGAAATCAGCCCAGCTGGCAAGCATCCCAGGCCTGCCCCTTTGCCCCCTTGGTCCCTGGGCAACATACTAAACTTGCCTAGCTCCCACTGTCTCACCTGGAGAGTGTGGCTTATAGAATAACTCCAAGGAACAGAGATAATAAGCATTCAATATGTAGCAGGTAGCTGAATGACAGCTGGTTTTGCTTATGGATATAAAACAATAATTGATTCTCCTGTCTTTTCTGCATTCATACATTCCTCCTCTACCATTTGTAATTATAATTGGACAAATACTGAACTTCAGTATGCCTGTTCCCAAATCTGTAGAAAAGGGCAATATGATGCCAGACTCCATTGTTGTGTGACGATCCACTAGGGAAAATCCACATAAAGGACTTGGTGCTTGTCTATAGTAAGCACACAGTATGTGGCACCTAG